CGGTATCCCGTGATCTTGATGATCTTGAGTTCATTGATCTCTCGATCTCCCTCTTGCTGTAGCCATTTGCCTCGAACGCAGTTTTTAGGTGTTCAAGTTCCATCTGGAGGTTCTCCGGTTCGCAAATCCTTCGGGCTCGTTCTGTCAGGGTTCTGATAACCCCATGCTTTTGACTTGGGTGATGGTCGGATAGAGCATGCCGGTATCTGTCCGTATGGGTTGGTTTTCTGTAAACTGTGTGGCCCAGCTTCTTACCTCGCTGGACCTGGTGAACAGGATATTTCCTGTCGATATTTGCAAACTTTTTGAAGTCTGTCTGATCGGTAGCTATTTCGTGTGGAAGGGAAACTTCTACGAACAGGTGGACGGAGTGGCAATGGGAAGCCCACTAAGCCCGGTTATAGCCAACTTATTTATGGAACACTTTGAGGAAAAAGCGATCGAGACCTCAGAGTACAAGCCAGCAACGTGGTTCCGGTACGGGGATGACACCTTCGTGATTTGGAAACATGGTATGGACAAGCTCAACAACTTTCTGCAGCATCTCAACAGTCAGCATCCCAGCATCCAGTTTACTATGGAGACTGAAAATGACCAACAACTTGCATTCTTGGACGTACTAGTGAGGAAGCGAGGTAAGAAGCTGGGCCACACAGTTTACAGAAAACCAACGCATACGGACAGATACCTGCATGCTCTATCCAACCATCACCCAAGTCAAAAGTATGGGGTTATCAGAACCCTGACAGAACGAGCCCGAAGGATTTGCGAACCGGAGAACCTCCAGACGGAACTTGAACACCTAAAAACTGCGTTCGAGGCAAATGGCTACAGCAAGAGGGAGATCGAGAAATCAATGAACTCAAGATCATCAAGATCACGGGATGCCGAACAACGACCCTCCACCTCCCACGCATATCTGCCGTATATTCCGAGTGTCACCGACAGGATTGGCAGAGTATTGAAAAGACACGACATCAAAACAATCTTTAAGCCTACAAAGAAGATCCAGCAGACCATCAGGTCAGCGAAGGACCAGAGGGGCTCACTTTCAGCTGCAGGAGTCTACCGCATTCCGTGTTCATGCGGATAGGTCTACATCGGAACAACCAAGAGATCAATGAGAACGAGACTTAAGGAGCATAAAGCAAGCTGCAGGCTAGGACATACAGAGAAGTCTGCAGTAGCTGAACACGCACTGGGCAGCGGGGAACACAGGATACACTTTGAGAGCTGTAAGTTACTAGCATCGGTCAACGGCTATCACAACAGACTAGTCAGGGAAGCCATTGAGATACAAAAACACCCACACAATTTCAACCGAAAGGAGGAGACCCTTAGACTCAACCAAATCTGGAACCCGATCCTTAGGAACGCCCGAGCAGTACCGATCGATATCCCGAGACCAACCGAAGCGGAACAAGCCCCGCCCACCACCAATCGGCATAAATACAACCTGCGCAGGAGAAATCGTCAGTCTACGTCCAACATCGGAGATGGAAGGACCTCTGAAGAAGCTCGCCACTCGTGCTAGCGAAACGTTAAGAAGTAATTCCAATCGACGACGGCCTTTGAACCCGAATCAAGATAATAGCTTATCAACGAGCCGCGAAAGCCTTAACCAATTTATCATTATAATATTTTGGCAATCTAAGTTTAATTGCGTAATGATGATGAATACTGCATTTTGGAATGTTTTTAAACCAGTTTGTAGCTTACGTTGGTTTTCATTTAGTTTCACAATAATTTTGTTGTAATTATTCGTTTTGCCCTTTGATAAAGATACTTGTGGTTCTAATTCTTTGGCTAAATTATTTTGGTTTTTCTCAAGTGTGCTTATGCTTTATTGCTGCTTTATAATCATTTCCGTCGTCGGCGTCGAAAGTTCCAAATTGCCATTTATTTATTTTACTTACCGCGTTAATAAGGCCTCGTTCTTTATGAACATGTAGATGTAAAATTCCAAGTTTTTCCACCGTTAAATATTCTGTTCCTAAAAGTAAATTTTCGGCAAGTCCATAATAAAAAATATTATTAGTTACATTTTTAACATTAAATTTATCTGAAATTATTTTGAATGCATTCTCTGTGTGATTATTTATTTGACTTAAATCTACGTAGTGGATAAATGTATGTTTATTATAAATTAACTTCGCGTTACCTATCTGGATAGGAAGTATAGGATTTACGAGTTTGGTAACTTGTACGTCTGTCGTTACTATTCGTTCAGTTAGAACTGCTACGAGTAGAAGAGTCAACATTTTGGTCATCATTGGTTTCCCGAAAGAATAGATTTTTATTAGCCTTTGGCATCGTTGTACTACTTTTATGATAGCTTGTCTTTGGTGTTATTAATTTATTTTCCGTTTGGTTTATTAACGGTATCTTTTTAAATATACGAAGTTCTTTGCTTCCAAATTTTGTTTTAATGAAAGCACATTTTTGATCACTAAAATCTGGTGGTTCGTCACGATTTTCTTTTCTTTTTGAAATAATGCCTTCTTTCGTTTTTTTATTTAATTCCTTTATTTGTTCTTGCAATTTGCTTGAGTTTTCTTTATGCGACTGAACATAAGAAGAAATGATCGCGTTATCATTTAGATCAAATGGGTTTTGAGGATCTAAATGACCTATAATTTCATCCGCGTCTCCTAAGTTGTTAAAATCGAGTCAGCTTCAATAGCGTTCATATCTATTGGATATCGTGATAAAGCGTCCGCTGCTTGGTTGTTCTTACCCTTTTTCTTTTTAATTTCCTCAAGTTTAAGTCTGCATCTAACGAGTCGTAAATTTGATTCTTTTAATGACATTAGCCACTGTAGGGGTTTATCATCCGTGTAATAAATTAATTAATTAAATAATAAATTTTTGTCCGAATAAATAAGGTCTATAATATTTACAGCTCCAAACAATTGCTAAGAGTTCCTTTTCAATTGTCGAGTAGTTTATCTCTGCTGGGTTCAGCGTTCTTAATGCGTAGCAAAATGGGTGTCCGTCTTGGGATAAAACTCCTGAGATGGCATATTTTGATGCGTCGGTTGTTAATCCAAATTTCTTTGTAAAGTCCGGATAAGATAATACTGGCTGCGAAGTAATTAACGTATTAAAAGAATCAATAAATTCTTTTGTGTGTTCGACTTTGCTTTCACTTATTGGTTTTTTTCTTTATAAATATTTCATGTGGATTTACAGTTAGAGTAAAGTTTGCGTCGGATTGTTTTCTACATTTGAATGGAATTTCGTTGTAAAATCCTAAAAACCTTTTATTTATTAAATCGACGTTTAGATTCATATTAATTAAATCAGTTAAACCTATTACTCCGTCAAAAAAGTCATGAAAATCAAATAAGATAAACGCCATTCGATAATCGATGTTAAATTCCAAAAATGGTGGTATGCTAGCTTGAAATCTAGTATTTTGACTTCCTACTGCTGCTGTCTTTATTTCATTATTTTTGTGATAAATGCAATTTGGAAAATATTTTTCAGCGATAATTGGAAGTAATATCGAGCGTGAACTACCCGTCTCTATTAGTAGTTTAATATTTGGTTTACGTATTTGAATATACGGTAAAGCGTTGTTAAAAGAAATATTAATTTATACTAGGATAGGTTGTTTGTTTGCCTGAGTTCGTGAAAATTTTCGTCATTTGGATTGTGTGTTCGACGTTTTATTTGATATGCGATGTATTTTCATACTCATTTTGTTCATAATTCTCCTCAAATTCGTTGTAATCATTATACTCGTTTTGATTAACAGGATAATCAACGTTTTCATCGCATTCTTGGTTAAATAATTCGCGATAAAATTCGGGGGTTGATTGTTGTTTGTAAAGTAATTTTGTTTTATCGATCGTCTTGTAAATGAATTATATGTTTGTCTTGAGGTGTCGGTTTAGGAAGTGGGTTGGGTGATATTTGATTGGGTTTGAAGACATTTCGTGGGGGTCCGAAAACTTCCCGATTTGTTGGAAATCGTCTTTGAGGTATTTGCCTCGGTTGAATATTTATTGGTTGAGATGGAAATTGTGGTTTTTGGAATTGATTTTGATATTGGTTTGGATTTGAAAAATTATTAAAATTGTTTGCAATGATATTTGTGTTGGGATTTATTCTAGGCTGAAATCTATTTCGATTCGGCTGATTTTGGAATTGTTGAAATGGTTGAAAATGTTGTTTCGTGTTGAATTGTTGAAAATTTGGTGTTTGGAATAGTTTTGCATTGTTTTGTTGGAAGTTGGGTATTTGGAATTTAATTTCTTTTCGCGGAGTAACCACCGATATGAAAAGAAAATGGGCGGCGAGCTCGGAAGAGCTTTAAAGTGGACTGTAGGCTTTAAAGATTTAGAAATACTACCGATCGCCAAACGGGCCGCTAAAAAACTTTAAGGTCTCACCTTAAGCGCACGCCTCCGTCTCCTCAGCAGGCCTGCTTCCTCTTTGCTGTAAGTTGTGCTACTCAATTCGCAGAACTTACTGGTGTTACGCCACGGATAACATAAAAACGCACAACGAAAATCGTTAGAATTAAAGTTCCCTTCGCGGAAAACGCGCCACAGATCTCGCTGCTACCGCACACGGAATGTTAATGCACTCCCGATCTTCTTGACCCAAAAAAAACTTTAACGGCAATACCGCGGTAAAAAATGTTCCAGCAACTTAAATTTTTATTTGAGTACGCACAAAATTATTTGTCCCAAAAACACGACTAAACATAAGAAAACTTTCTCTCTTTGCAAATTACCAAAAAATAAAATAATAAATATATATATATATATATATATATATATATATATATATATATATATATATATATATATATATATATATATATATATATATATATATATATATATATATATATATATATATATATATATATATATATATATATATATATATATATATATATATACAAGGACAGACATGTGATCTCTCCATAACCGCCCACCACAATACGCAGTATTGCCATGGGTTGATAGGCAAGGGACACAACTTAATCACGGGGCGTTTGAAAACGCCAGTGCTTGTCCGGACGGTAGCCACTCGGACGACACCATCAGGTCCGGGATGGACTTCGCTTAAACGAGCAAAGGGCCATTGTAAAGGAGGTGAGTTGCTCTGTTTTATAATCACTAAAGCGCCCGGTTTTACATTTGGAGAGAGACTGTTCCATTTGGCTCTTTGTTGGAGCGTATGGAGATATTCTTTAGACCATCGAGTCCAGATCTGTTGGTGAAATTAGGAGAGAAGCTGCCAACGAGAAAGGCGATTGTTCGAGACGTGTTGCACGAGGTCCTCGGGAGGGGCGTTCAAAGGCTCCATTGTGAGGAAGTGCCCGGGCGTTAAAACATTCAAGTCGTTCGGATCCTCACTTAGAGGGCATAACGGACGCGAATTCATTATCGCTTCGACTTGGGTGAATAAAGTGTAGAGTTTCTCAAAAGTTAATACCTGCTCCCCAATCGTACGGACTATGTGACACTTAACCGTTTTGATGTTGGACTCCCATAGTCCTCCAAAGTGTGGAGATGAGGAGGGAATAAAGTGCCACTTAATGTAGTGGTGATTGGCGGCGGTTTCAGCCAGCCTGTTTAATTCTTTACTTGCCCCAGAAAAGTTTGTGCCGTTGTCGCTATGAATGTTATCGCATCTGCCGCGGCGGCTGACAAATCGTTTGAAGGCAGCTAAGAATGCGCTCGTGGACAGATCCGACACTAGCTCCAGGTGAACAGCCTTGGTGGAGAAACAAATAAAGAGTGCTAGGTATGCTTTAAGGATCGGTGCCTTTCGAATCCTGGACATTACAATTGGGAAAGGTCCTGCGAAATCGACACCGACGATGCTGAAGGGCTTAAGTTCGGAAATGCGCGCTATGGGTAAGTTTCCCATTAAAGGAACAGGCGACGTGGGGTTTACTCGAAAGCATTTGACGCATTTGGACAAAACCCTTCGGATTGCTCGTTTTGGAGAAAGAATCCAGAAACGCAGGGAAATTAGATATTGGACAGTTTGGATGCCGGCGTGTAAATACTGTACATGAGTCGACTCGATAATCATCTCAGTTAATCGGCACTGGCTAGGAAGTAACGCAGGAAATTTACGTTCGTAGGAAATGGTTGCTTGGCTTAATCGTCCACCCACTCTCAAAGTTCCAGCATCGTCAAGAAATGGAAATAGTTTCCTGAAATTTTTAGCAAGAGGTTTACCATCCTTAAGAAGACGGAGTTCGTGACTAAAAAATAGGTCTTGCGAGCGTCTTACGAAAATTAACAGAGAATTGTAAGTCTCGGAGGATGTCAGAAAACCGGTTTCCAATTTATTCGATTTACGCAAGTAATGCACGTAACGTACCAAATAACTCAGCGACCGAACACATTTGTTTAAGGATGAAGAGTTCTCGAGCATGGTGCCTAGAAAATTTGTGGAAGCTTGGGTGGTATGGAGGTTTAAGGTGCGAGCCTCTAATTCGTGGTCGTGGACGTCGGTGGGGTCACGTTCTAAAATAATGGGATTGCAATGCAAAAAGGATGGCCCCGCCCACCATAGAGAACTGTTCACTAACTCGGAAGGTAAACAACCACGGGATCCAAGGTCAGCGGGGTTCTCTCTAGATGAGACATAATGCCAACTGGAAGGATTAACTCTTTCCTGAACAAAAGACACCCTGTTACTGACGAAAGTCTTCCAACGGTGCGGAGAGGATCTCAACCAACCCAGAGTAACCGTGGAATCAGAGTAACAGAAAATATCCGTAACTTCGATATCGGATGACTTAATAGCCGTGGCTACAAATGACACCAAGCGAGCCGCTAACACGGCTGCCCATAATTCCAGACGCGGAATTGATACTATTTTCTTGACAGGGGCGACTTTAGATTTTGCCGTTACGAAATGAAGGACGGGTGAGGCTGACGACGTTAAACATCTTAAGTATAACACAGCGCAGTAACCTATTTCGCTAGCGTCGCCAAAGCAGTGAATTTCCAGTTTGGACATCTCATTAGGTAATAGGCGTCTCGCAATATTTAGATTTCCAAGGACAGAAATTTCGGATAGGTACTTCTCCCACCAACGAACCACATCGTTAGAGGGTTTGTCGTCCCAACCGATTTTTTGAGACCAAATTTTTTGAATGATATGCTTAATGAGGAGAGTGACGGGAGATAGAAAACCTAAGGGGTCGAATATCCGTGCTAAGTTGCACAAAAGGAGTCGCTTTGTGCAACCGGAATCAGAAGCCTTCACTTTAAATCGGAAGGTATCGGATGGAGCATCCCATTCTAATCCTAAAACCCTTAGAGTCGGGGAAGACAGTTTGCTTACAAATTCAAGGGGGTTAATCGCCAGATCGGATGTCAGAATTCCCTCCAATACGGCGGGACTGTTACCGGACCATTTCTTTAACTCGAAACCGCCCGTGTTTAATAATGCGATGAGTTCATCGCGCAAAGCTAAAGCGGTTTGGATCGAACAACAAGAGACGACAATATCGTCAACGTAGGTGTTCCTTTTATGGGCTTTGGCAGCTAGGGGATATTTATGCCCTTCCTCGACCGCCAATTGGTGCAGACATCGTATTGCGAGGTAAGGCGAACAAGAAAGACCGTACACGACTCGGTTTATTCGAAAGTCCTTTACAGGCTCGTTAGGCGTGTTGCGCCAAAGAACTCGTTGGTAGTCCGTATGAAGCGGATTAACCAAAATTTGACCATACATTTTGGAAATGTCGGCGGTCAGAATATAACTGAATAAACGAAAATTTAATAATATTGTAGATATATCACTCTGGAGTTTTGGACCGGTGAATAGTTTATCATTGAGGTAAGGCTGGTTGGGAAGGTGTGCGGAACCGTTAAAAACCACCCTTAGTTTACTGGTTAAACTTTCCGGCCTTAAAACACAATGGTGGGATAGATAATAACAGTGAGGGGAACTGAACGAATTGTCTGGAATAGATTCCATGTGGTTAAGCGCAATAAATTCGTTCATGAAATCGCAATTTTGCGAGTAAATCTCAGGCTTCTGAAGTCTCCGCTCAAGGGAATAAAACCTCTGTAAAGCCAGAGATCGGATATTTGGGAAGATAGGGGCTTCTTCCTTAAAAGGTAAGTCGACGATGAACCGACCAGACGGCTGGTCTCGCCGGTGTGTGCTGACAAATGTTTGTTCCACCTTAATGTCATCGGGAGATAGACGAGGTGCATCAGGAACTGTCTCTAATTCCCAGAATTTGTCCGATTGTTGATCAAGGGAAACCGTGTCCTCAAGATAACAAAACAACGTAGCGAGTGCAGGCGCTTTGAAATGATTTATTTTCCCCATAAGGACATAGCCGAAGATTGTATTAATTGCGTCGGGCTGGTCTTTAGATCCAGGGATGCGTCCGTCCAACAGAATTTTAGAAAAGACGTCGGCACCCAGAAGGAGGTCTATAGGTCCCCTGCGGAAAAATTGGTCATCGTATAAATTAGTTAAGTGGGACCAGTGACTATGTTTAATATCCAAAGCAGGCTGGTCTTCGCAAATTTTTTTCAGAATTAAAGCGTCAGTGGTTAAAACAGGATGAGTTTGATACATCGGTCGAAAATATATAGTTACTCCACCTAAATCCGCTTGCGAATGCATGGCGCCTAACCCGTTTATACGAACCTCTAGGGGAGACGGTCGTAAACCTAACCGGCTAACTGTTTTTTGAGTTATGAATGACGACATACTTCTTGAATCGAGTAAGCATCGTATCGGCTGGTAGATTCCGCGGCCGTCGAGTATTTCGACAAAAGCAGTGGAAAGTAAAACGCTCGAATTGGCTGAAGAAAAACCTGCAGTTACGGTCGATGGATTTATGTGGTCAGAGAGCTTAAGCGAATCATTGTTAGCGGGGGGTGACTGAAAGTGAAGTAATGTGTGATGTTTTTTGTGGCACATATGACAACTCCACGTAGAGGTACAGGTACTAAAACGGTGAGAACCTAAACAATTTACGCACATTTTTCCCCTCTTAACCAGATTGTAGCGCTCTGCGGGAGATTTTTCCAAAAACTCGCTGCATTTATAAATAAAATGAGAATTTTTACAAACAGGACATTTTAGTGGATTTTCAGTTTGAGCCAGCATTGCTGTAGATTTGGAGAAAGTTGGCTTTTTGAGAAAAATTTGCTTTGTTTTAGTTTGAAAATTAATATGGTCCAACGCCAGACAATTTTTACTTAAAAATTGCCTTAATTTAGCATAACTTGGAATAGTACTGTCGTTGTGATGAAGTTCAAATCGTGTAACTAGAGAAACCGTGAGTCTTTTCAGCATCATTTGAACAAGTATAAAATCCCAGTGTTCCGTGGGTAACCCTAGTTTTTGCAAAGCTGCGACTTTTTTGAAAACGTATCTAATAAAGAGCGTAACTCTTTTGAATTATCTGAGGTAAGTTTGGGTGAGCTTTCGAGGTTATTCCATAAATTTGAAGCAATAACTCTCACATTATTGAACCTTTCTTTTAGTAAATCGTAAGCAATTGTGTAATTATCTGCTGTGATATCCAAAATGGTCGACAGCGTCCCGAGCGACACCTTTCAAGCAAGAAACTTATAGGTTAAATTTGTCAATCGCTTTTAAGTGGGGGACCGTGTGAACACGCGCATCAAATTGATCGAGAAAACTCCGAAACTCGGTAACTTCTCCGCTAAATGTCGGTAACTCAGGCTTGGGTAAATTTAAATATGCAGAGATGGGCAATTGTTCACCCGGTATAGCAACAGATTGCGTCGTCGGCTTCATTAAACGTTGCGTATAAATAGCTTGAATTCTATAATATTGAATATCGAATTTTTTCCGAAAATCATCCTCAATCTTGAATAGTTCATCCGCATTTTCCTTATCACATATGATTGATATAATTTTATTGTGAATTTTATAAAAATTTGTTCGAGTTTCCTCAAGTTCTTTATATATAGCTTCAAGAATGGGATAAAAACTTTCATCTTCGGCATTAACTTTCAGAGCAACATCGTATATTTCGTTCAATTTATGAATTTCAGTCGACCGGAGTACTTTATTCTTTTTATAATCACCCATTTTTTTTTCTTTTTTTTTTCAGTGAGTAAAAAATAAACGGTTCAAACCTAATAAAAACTGGTCAAACTCTTCACACACTAATATTAAATTATGTGTCCTGCTCTATTTACCTGACTAAAAATTAAATTATCTAAATGAACAACTGCGTATTGTATGAACGAAAGGTACATAAAAAGGGAATGCGAAGGTCATCAATTTTTTTTGTTTTGCTCAAGAATTAGATCTTGACAGAAAATGTTTAAATCCAATTTCAAGTAACTTAATTAAAATTGTGCCCTCTCCGTGGTAATAATCGAAATCAAAATAATGCGGATTGAAATAATGAATTTATTTTAATTTCTGTAAGAGAGAAATGTTTTCCGTTGCGTAGCTAAGGCTAAAAACTGTCGAATCCGGATCGTTAGGACCAAATAATTTCTTTTCGCGGAGTAACCACCGATATGAAAAGAAAATGGGCGGCGAGCTCGGAAGAGCTTTAAAGTGGACTGTAGGCTTTAAAGATTTAGAAATACTACCGATCGCCAAACGGGCCGCTAAAGAACTTTAAGGTCTCACCTTAAGCGCACGCCTCCGTCTCCTCAGCAGGCCTGCTTCCTCTTTGCTGTAAGTTTTGCTACTCAATTCGCAGAACTTACTGGTGTTACGCCACGGACAACATAAAAACGCACAACGAAAATCATTAGAATTAAAGTTCCCTTCGCGGAAAACGCGCCACAGATCTCGCTGCTACCGCACACGGAATGTTAATGCACTCCCGATCGGCTTGACCCAAATAAAACTTTAACGGCAATACCGCGGTAAAAAATGTTCCAGCAACTTAAATTTTTATTTGAGTACGCACAAAATTATTTGTCCCAAAAACCCGACTAAATATAAGAAAACTTTCTCTCTTTGCAAATTACCAAAAAATAAAATAATAAAATATATATATATATATATATATATATATATATATATATATATATATATATATATATATATATATATATATATATATATATATATATATATATATATATATATATATATATATATATATATATATATATATATATATATATATATATATATATACAAGGACAGACGTGTGATATGTCCAGAATTGTTTTGAATTACTTTGTTGAAAATTGGGCATTTAGAATTGTTTTGTTGTGTTGCTTAGATTCCCGTAGAGGTTTTCGAAATTTTCAAATTAGGAAACATAAGCAATGCAATATAAGCAAGCAATGCAAGCAATTCCTCTAAAGAATCTGGTTGTTTTAAATGCATGTTGTTTTTTAGCGTCCCGGTGCATTTAGCTATGAATGTATTGAGCGCAATTTTGTTGTAATAATTTATATGGAAAAGTTTTTCTTTATGATCTAAATCTTCTGAATTACTAATCCGCTGTACACTACTCTTTAAAAATTGTAGTCTACCACCCAAATCAACTAAATGTTCATTTTTGAACGGCCTTGCTCTAGTCAATTCCTGAATTAGACAATATAAATTTCTCCTATCTTCAAAGCATTGAATAAGGGCATCTTGTATGCTTGATCAATCTGTGAATTCTGATCGGTTACCTATCATTAACTATGCTTTCCCTTCTGGTTTGGCTATGATACAATCGAAGATATGGCTATTTAGTTACGCATCTCCCAAACTAACGCAGGAATTTATTAACCTTTCGCACTTAACAATAAGGTTTTATGTTATCTACCTTTGATTTAAAAAGATTCCAATTAAATCTTGGTTTTGCACTACTCATACTACCTGAGCTTCCTTGTTGGGTCGTTGTTTTGACTCCTGTTTGTGTTTTGTTCTCTAACTTTAAAATTGAATTAAAATGTTTTTCGAGATTTTCGATTTCAGAATCGCTCATTTATGATTTCATTTGATTTGCTTTTCTCTTTTTCTTAACCTAATCGTGTGCAATGCGAGCCCTAAACTATCCCTTCAAGTGACCTTATACAGAGGTATCGGAGGGGCAAAAAGAAATGGCACTTACGGTTTCGTTTTTCTCCGTCTCCTTTCCGACTCAATTTTCCAACCCGTCACATGCAGGTTGTACCTTTGAGGACCATCCTTCTGCTTCCCTTGCTGCTGGTTCTGCGTGCTGAAGGATTTGAAAATCCACGTAGCGAAGGTCCAAAATTTGGAACTTTCCACGATTGGCGATTTCTCAGAAACTCCCAGAAGATTCTGGTTAATTGTCCACCACTGCTGCACTTAGAAAATCCGTTCCGACTGCGCCACTTAAATGTTCAAGATTCGGGAGAGCGTTTTTAAAAACATTTATTTATGCAGAAAGCAAAATAAAGTTTTATTCGGTCTAGTCGATAAAAAGGCTGAAATAATTAAGAGCACATTTTACACTATGACAATCGAATAAATAGGGCTTTTGATGCGGTGTCAGTGATGCGTCATATTCGCTTAAGCTTTGTTCTTCGTCTTCTGTTTGGGGCATATAATTCGCAGCAGCTTTTTGTTCCGTCATTGCTATCGCAAAATATTAACAGCGTCTTATTATTTACATAGATTATGCGCGACCTCGGTGACCTAATCACCTCGCTCCGCGGTATAAACGCAACACCGTCGGCCGGGCTCTCCTCCCGCGACGTAAAGTACAGGGGGCGAAAAACAAAATCCAAATAAAACACAAACAAAAAATACCCCCTACCCCATTAAGGGTGACATCTGGCGGTCAAAAAAAGCTAGCTGAACTAAATTAAAGGGTTGCTTGGGAAGCTGTAATGCTTAGGGGTGACATCTGGCGACCAAAACCTGAACAATTAGTGCGCGACATCTCTCGGACACTGACCGAACTAAATTAAAAGGTTGCTTGGGAATGTCGAAAATTTGCTATCTAGTGATCTCCCCCGGGCGGCGGGGGATGCGGAACTCACGAAAAATAACTACTGATCAACAATGTTACATCCACTGAGTAACCTGTGACTCTCAAACCCGTGACTAAAATTCCGGAAATGTCCGGGGTGACTCCCGACCGTGGGTAACGAATCTAACGTTTTAACATGACACTTTTTGAACTCTTGATCCTTGTATAATTGGGCATTTTAGAGTTTAGGAATAGAAAAATATAATTATAGGTTTGCTAAAATGAAAACTATGATATGTGGTCAACATAAAAATTTATTAAAATACAAAAACTAATCAAAACATAAAATTAATGTGATAGTTAACTCCAATCTTCGTTAATTAGCTTGCCAGCATTTAGTCCAATTGCCAAAGAAATGGCATTGGTATTTCCACTTATAATTCTGGGCATAATGCTTGCATCGGCGACCCTTAAATTACTAATTCCACGAACTCTCAACCTTGGATCCACTACGGAAGTTGGGTCCGAATCCGGTCCCATCTTGGATGTTCCCACTGGGTGGTATAAAGTGCTCCCTAAAGTTCTGATAAAACATTTCCAGTAATCATCTGTATCGAATTCCAATTCTGGGCAATTTGGAAGTATTAAGGGAACTGTTGTCGCATTAAGTTTTCGTAGTGGATTTGTCTGCAGTAATCTTTGGGTATACCTAAAAAGTTGCCAACATTTTATTGATATTTTTCTTTTCTCAAACATTGATTTAATAAAGATGAGGATTGATAATTATTTTGTTGTGTTTGCGTTCACTTGACGTCGAACCCGGAAAGGGAGGGGTGATTACAAATGCGATGTGAGAGACGACTGGAATATGTGACTCCATCTCGAGGAGGCGGTGCGGTCTATAGAAGCAAATCATTGCTCCATAGTCAGTCAGTCGGAAGAGTGAAATTTAGAGCGTGGAAACATTAATAAGCTACTAATATAATTAATAGACGTACTATAAATTTGTAGTATGCTCCAAGTGAATGGTAGTTTGGCTTTAGCTGTTAGCAGCTTCTTTAGTTTCACCGTCTCGTTGGATGAACCAGAACGATATAAGTTGATTTTAAAACGAAAAAATATTAATCGGTTAATCAAATTGACTACATTGATTTTTATTTTAACATACAAAGAGAGTTTTAAGTATTTTGAAAAAAAAAAACAGATGTTGATCATTACTATAAAAAATATTAACAATGTTGGTAAATCTAGCAGATTTTAATATTCCTATACCCTTTCTTCACATTTTGTATGATATATAGCAGCCCTGGTATAATATTATTTATTTGTTATATTTTATTAATTATTTTATTTCTAGGTTAACAAGTTAAAAATTTAATTAATTTAAACAGTTTTTATCTCTAAAATGGAGTTAAAATTGGAAATCCATTCTTCATACATTTCCCAAGGACACGGTAAACGAGATTTTTTTTATTTTAACTAACTAAACTGTAATAATTACCTTACGCCCTCCAAAAGTGTTTCCAGATCGTAGTCATTTTCATCCGTAAGATATCCGGAATATATCAAAGGTTTATCTAAAGGATTAGTGCTATTGAGCAAAATACTACCTCTAGATTCTGGCTTCAGTAAAATTGAATAGAAGCTAGCACTGGCATTTAATCGATTTATTTCGACATATTGTTGGGCAATTTCTGGTGAGTAACCTGTAACTCTGAGAAATGCTGGTAGCCCATTTTGGTCGCCAGGAGGGTTAAAGCTTTCGACTACTTGCATATTAGGATAAATTGAGTTGTTCTTCGTATTAATAAATCCTTGAAGGTTGGACATACCTAACGTACCAACGGGGCCAGTACGATATGAAAAATATTGATATAAATTATCAATTGCGGCTGAGCGGGGCTGATTTGTTACCGCGGATCCATTCATTTGTACAGGTACAGGTATATATAAATGATCTTGCAGATTTTGTCCAACTGGCAAATCTTGAAGGACTTTAATTCCAAGATCATTGAGATGAGATAGAGGGCCCACCCCAGACAACATTAGTATTTGTGGCGTATTTATACTACCAGCAGATACAATTACTTCCTTCGAGGCGTTAATTTCTAGAAGATCATCCCCAACTTTGATTTGCACACCGGTCGCTTTTAAGTCTTGGTCTATTAGTACTTTGGTAACAGTTACGTTAGTGGCGACGAACAGGTTTGTCCTATTTTTTACTTGACCTACAAATAAGCAGCTATTAATAAAGGATATTATCTGTATTGAGCAGCAACCATTAAATGTCATGTACATGTAAAAATTTACTAATACGGAAAGATTCTGGAACACTTTTTATGGATGACAATGTTTGATCAACTATGATTCACCCGATTCTAATTTGCACTAGCAGCTATTGGTTTTTACAACCCTAGCACTCTTATTCCTAAACTGTTATTAACGTTCCAGTACCATATTTGAACTTTTAGAGATGCAATATTTTGAAATATTTTTTCAATCCGGAAGTACAGGGTTATTGATTACATCTTGACCCCTTCGGTAACTTATATTGTATTAAAAAATACCATGTTTTTCTTCTTCTATGGAAGTATTTCGAATAATATGAATACTGAAGTCTAATGTTTGCAACGCCAAATATAGAAAAATACATAGATAGCTTTGTAATCAATTGTTGTCAAAGTGGTGAAACTCGCAATAAATTTTTGGAAATAATTTTGCAATCATTAAGAATTGTAAAGTAACCAAACCTTAATGAGAATTTGTTACATTAAAGGACATTGCTATAAGACCTCGAAGTTTGATTACGTAATTTTCTAAAATTTACAACAGATAATGTTTCATACCGACACCACTGGTTTTATTTTTTAACTGGCAGAGAATTTTAGCATAATTAAGGTTACCCAAAAATCCTCTTGCTGCGTTAGCTCGAACCCCATTGTTAATTGTTACCAAGGCCTGAAAATATCCAAGAGGGCTCAAAGGATTTTCAGTTAGAAGAGTGGGATAACCCAACTCGCTAGCCCCATCAGTGATGGCTCGAGAAACCAAATTATTGTTGTCATACCAACTGAAATAAAAAAAACAAAATCATAAACATTGCAATCTTCATAACATTTGTAATAACAAAAACCTCAAAACTTGAGATGTGAATTAAGTAAAATTGTCTTTAGGTGCCTACATATAGCGAAATGTCAAAATGCTATAAAATTTTATCGTTTTAATTTCTGATTCTAAGGTAACATTTTATATTATGTTTTCTTCTCGTAAGACCATTCCCTTCCCATCCCTTCGAATCAGAAGTGGGTGAAATTGGTCAACTTACTTCAACCACTTGCTTATCTTAAAATTACAAATTATTTGAACTGAACGTAATCCTTCATTCCAATTTGAATAACCAAAAACCAACCTTATGATTTGAAATCCATCCTTCCCGTATTCCGCATTGCTGTTATTGGGTTGTGAAATCACGTGTTCATTTTCTAAATACAACTGCAATATGCTTTCATAATCCCAACCGACATTTCCTAAAATACCACAAAAACTTTAAAAAGATACATGCAATAATTACTTATATCACACCGTGTGCAAACGTTTTTCCGTGGATATAGAACTAAAGAATAAACAGGGTCTTCCAAACTCGATAGCCTATTGGAAGTATATGGAGAATAAAAAAAATAAGCATAAAATTGGTTGCAGGCGTCGGAGGCTATGACCTCTATTTCTAATATATTCAGGACGTTACACAAAATATTTCATGTATTCCATTCAAAAAATAAAGTTGGCATCTGCAATGTCCCATATATTGTAACAATAAAGATCACGGCTTGCTATGTCCGCAACTCAATTTTTAAGTACCCATTTTTCCCGTTATCTACATACATCTAGTAAGCCATCGCGTTTGGAGAAGCCTGTATATATCGGCGTCATACACAATTCAAGGAATATTTAGTTACATATCAATTTAATCCTTCATATTTTGATAAAAAGAGATCCACAGAGATTTATACAATAAACTCTATTCATGAGCGTCATATAACTAAGATATCTCAGATTGTGTATTAGTATCACTTTTTGGAACCGGAACCCATATCCTTCCCCCACACCTTGACGTATATTACAAAACGAAATGTGAGTCATAATTGAATTTAACTTTATCTATCCAGATAGAAATGTGCAGAAGTGTTGACCGAACAGAATTAAATCCAGTTTTGTCGAGAAAAATAAATCTCTCAAATCCTATCTATCTAGCTAATACTTGTTTACTAAGATGGTAGTAAATGACAGTTACCGGTTTTTTATGCATTATGATTGTTTAATGTATTTAAAAAATAATATATGGAAACTTGCAGATGAATTTGAATAGAAAATAGAAACTTATTATCAAATGAATACGTATAAGATCGTCTTCTCCTAAGGAGCTATATCCGTAGATAAACTTAATTATATATATATATATATATATATATATATATATATATATATATATATATATATATATATATATATATATATATATATATATATATATATATATATATATATATATTCTCACGTATTGATTCACGGATGGAAAAATGTGATGACACTATATTCCGGGATATCATCCGTTCGCTCGTTGAACTCCGACTGGAATCCTGCAAATCTTGCATCCGACTGGAATCCTGCAGACGTTTCGCCAAAATCTCACTTGGCATCTTCAATGCTCGCGTTCCGAAAACACTTCGAACAGTGTTTATAGTGTAGTAGAATATAGTGTCATCATATATATATATATATATATATATATATATATATATATATATATATATATATATATATATATATATATATATATATATATATATATATATATATATATATATATATATATAGAGTTACATACATTATCTCAAACGTAAGGAGATCGCAATGATCAAGGTAAAAAAGTCGACTGAACACAACCAAATTCAACTTAGAGTCAGATTTTCAATAGCCAAAACCGAGCTTTTAATTTAATTAATTGTTAACTGCCAATCTCAATAAAGCTGCTATATGATGGTAACTTAGAAATATTGATCTTACCCAAGTCCGCCCATTCGTCATAATCTCCCTTATTTCCTCTGATATACATCATGGCGTTCATAGAACTGCAACCGCCTAGCAGTTTTCCACGAGGCCAACGACACCTTCCGTCTATATAACCAAAACAGGAAGTGTTGGATGGTTCAGTCAGATACATCCAGTCTTCTCGACTTTGTTGCACACCATATGCAGTTGACGGTATCTGCAAAATGTAATAAAATGTAAAATGTTAATCTTAATGTTAAAATTAATTCAATATATTTCACATTGGAGTAGATATAAAGAATATCCCAAGCTTTAAATGTCAATAAAATAAGGTAAATATTCTAAACAAAGATAAACAGATAATAGTATTAGTAGAAGTAGTAAACTGATAATAGTTAAATTAAATTAGGTTAAATTATACATTATCAAAAATTATCTTTACATATACAAACTAATTCGTAAGGATTCTTTCGATTACCAACTAAATAGCTGCTGCATATGATATGTCGATTTCCCTACAAATACGTAGCTAGTTTCAAGATGACGTTTATCATCTCCGTAAGATTGCCATTTATATCTCTTATCCAAAGATACAGTGCACTTAAGTTAGTGTTCTCTTTTGTACGTGTTTATTTTATAGTCCTCTGTTTCTTGATTTTTAGTATTTTGTAGTTAATGGCTCCAAGAAAATTGGTATAAAAGGGAAAGCGATCGTTCACATGATGTGTCTCATTCTGAAATTACGTTCACTTTGAACGCTAACCTATTTTTCACTTCAACGTAAATATCATACAAATGTAGTCGAAATAACTAATTGTGCAAAATATTATTTTTGACAACCTTAGAACCATTTCAATAGGTATCATAAAATATTTAATTTTAGGAACATATTCTATGTTTTGTTTCAAAACAATTGCGAAAAACTTAAGGGGGTAATAATTCATATAGCTACTAGAGATAGATATAAAGCCCCTGTCTATGCTGATAATAAAGGAACTCATGAAGCTGCTATGAAAAAAATTTTTTTTTAACAAATCACTTTGTGGTATTCAACAACCAACATGGCAGCGGACAGAACGTCAATAACTTTGGATGCGGCATTTTTTAGCAGTATTTTCTCAAAATATGTCCAGGTCCTACTAAATCTTTAGGCAAAACGAAGTTAAGGGGTGGATATCGCTGTTTAGGAAGAAAATGGCGCAAAGTGCAGGTTAGTGGGTAAAGCGTAGAGGCCTGCGCATCGAGTTTTACCGTAGCAGAGCCACTATACTATCTAAGAGCTGTATGGAATGATGCCGTGGACATATCGCACACAATTATGGCGGAAAATAAGGATTTTATTTTTTATCATAAAACCGAATATTATAGAAGTATTACTATTATAAAAAACACACACACACACATGAGTGAATTAAATTAGTCTGTCTCTATCATTCTTCTTAAAATTTAAAGGAAAACTTATGCGATGACATGGAAAAAATATTTTTGTAGACATGTTTTTTAAAAACTTTTTTGTCGTCTGACTTGCAGTTTCCAAGTTTTCAAAAATTGTATAGAATTGCTTTAAGAAAAAAGAAAAATAAATTAATTGAGTTCTGTCAAACAGTGCACTTAGCTTCTGAGCAATTACATTTTAAACATAATTTATCAAGAAACAGTTATGCGTAAGACGACAAGCTTCTAAAGAATTTCCGTTTGCCATTTCTGCAGTGTAAATCACCATTATTGAATCGAAAGTCTTATTATGGAACAATTAAAAGGTTTAATATGTAAATTGTTGATTAAATTAGTCGTATTTTGCATTCAAACTAACTGAGCAATGTTAAATAAAGAAATAATAAGAAACGCCCTAAAGAATGAAGGTAGCTAACTAGAGCTTTTCTTATTTTTTCTTCTCTTTTCTTATCTCGTTGTGTTGCTTTAGATTTTATTTTTTATTTGTAAAAGGTTTCTCCTGAAATTTAATTAAGAACAATGATTGAGATATTCTAATTTAGTCCCCACTCATTTAAAAAATATAAAAATATATGCGCAAAGTATGTTTTTTTAAAATAGTAATATTATATACATTGTTCTACCTATAATTGTTTTTAAGATAAAAACTATAAAACTAATTTTCTTGTAGCCCGATATCTCTCTAATAGTTCACTTTTGGCCCAACGTTTATATAACCCTACTACCATTTATTTTAAATAAATAATCATCCCCTTAACTCATAATATTCCTGTATACTTATGGAATTGTAGTAATAGAAGTGTGTTCAACGCTGGGGATATCAGGACAAACCATATAGCTATTAGATAAAATAGTGAGCCTTCTACAGTAAAAATTGATAAGCTGCATGCATCATTGATATTTTCGTAAAGAAAGCAATGAATTTCCACGCATACATCTACATTACACCCAGTAACCTGCAATTTGCGGCATTTTCTCTCTCTATAATTTTTTATGTATTTCGACAAAATAAAAGGTGTCAGTGGCCTTGTTGGTTGTCGAATATTGCAAGATCTTTGGTTAGAAACGAGATTTTAAATCTCGCACCTGCGCATGTTGAATGTTTTTTACATAGTTGCTTCATGAGTTCCTATACTATCAGTATAGGCAGGGCCTCTAGATGTCTAGTAGCTATATGAGACAAACTGATATTTAATAGGGATGAAACTCACTTATTGCCAAGTACTTACATCACTATTCGCGGAAGGATAGATGCCTGCTTCTAAAACCAATACTAGTCGATCGCTTTGTTCGGAAAGTGTGTTGGCAAGGACGGAACCCGAAGAACCCGCACCTATTATTATAAAATCAAATTCGTCGCCGTCACCCAAATTCGAACTATAATCTTCCGGATAGGAGTCTAAAATACATTAAATAAAGCCGTTAATAATCCGATCTCCTGCCGTCGAACCGAGAAAGAAAAAAAGATGCAAACCACTCACCTTTGGAACCAAGGGGGCATTGAGCGGCCGTTAAAGTATTTATCAAAGTTAAAAATAGTTGCAATGACCCAGTTTCAAGATTAGACCCGCAAGGGGTTGTTATGCCACTAATAATATCCATCCTTTCTAAAAGTAAATGAGCAAATAAAAATAATTATAAATACAAAAAAAAATTATTTGCTTTGTGAAGAAATTATTCAAAACTTAGTCCAGATTAATTTCCACTAAATAAAATATATCTTAAAGGTTTATATTTATTTCAAATAGAATTTCAAATTGTTGAATTTCTTGTTCCCAAAGAAGTATTCAGGTGTTTTAAAAAACAAATGACAAATATGATAAATTGGTTAAGGCTTTCGCGGCCCGTTGATAAGCTATTAACTTCATTCGGGTTTAAAGGCCGTCGTCGATTGGAATTACTTCCTAACGTTTCGCTAGCACGAGTGGCGAGCTTCTTCAGAGGTCCTTCCATCTCCGATGTTGGACGTAGACTGACGATTTCTCCTGCGCAGGTTGTATTTATGCCGATTGGTGGAGGGCGGGGCTTGTTCCGCTTCGGTTGGTCTCGGGATATCGATCGGTACTGCTCGGGCGTTCCTAAGGATCGGGTTCCAGATTTGGTTGAGTCTAAGGGTCTCCTCCTTTCGGTTGAAATTGTGTGGGTGTTTTTGAATCTCAATGGCTTCCCTGACTAGTCTGTTGTGATAGCCGTTGACCGATGCTAGTAACTTACAGCTCTCAAAGTGTATCCTGTGTTCCCCGCTGCCCAGTGCGTGTTCAGCCACTGCAGACTTCTCTGTATGTCCTAGCCTGCAGCTTGCTTTATGCTCCTTAAGTCTCGTTCCCATTGATCTCTTGGTAGTTCCGATGTAGACCTTTCCGCATGAACACGGAATGCGGTAGACTCCCGCAGCTGAAAGTGAGCCCCTCTTGTCCTTCGCTGACCTGATGGTCTGCTGGATCTTCTTTGTAGGCTTAAAGATTGTTTTGATGTCGTGTCTATTCAATACTCTGCCAATCCTGTCAGTGACACTCGGAATATACGGCAGATTTGCGTGGGAGGTGGAGGGTCGTTGTTCGGTATCCCGTGATCTTGATGATCTTGAGTTCATTGATCTCTCGATCTCCCTCTTACTGTAGCCATTCGTCTCGAACGCAGTTTTTAGGTGTTCAAGTTCCATCTGGAGGTTCTCCGGTTCGCAAATCCTTCGGGCTCGTTCTATCAGGGTTCTGATAACCCCATACTTTTGACTTGGGTGATGGTTGGATAGAGCATGCAGGTATCTGTCCGTATGGGTTGGTTTGCAACTTTCTGCAGCATCTCAACAGTCAGCATCTCAGCATCCAGTTTACTATGGAGACTGAAAATGACCAACAACTTGCATTCTTGGACGTACTAGTGAGGAAGCGAGGTAACAAGCTGGGCCACACAGTTTACAGAAAACCAACCCATACGGACAGATACCTGCATGCTCTATCCAACCATCACCCAAGTCAAAAGTATGGGGTTATCAGAACCCTGACAGAACGAGCCCGAAGGATTTGCGAACCGGAGAAACTCCAGATGGAACTTGAACACCTAAAAACTGCGTTCGAGGCAAATAGCTACAGTAAGAGGGAGATCGAGAGATCAATGAACTCAAGATCATCAAGATCACGGGATACCGAACAACGACCCTCCACCTCCCACGCATATCTGCCGTATATTCCGAGTGTCACCGACAGGATTGGCAGAGTATTGAAAAGACACGACATCAAAACAATCTTTAAGCCTACAAAGAAGATCCAGCAGACCATCAGGTCAGCGAAGGACAAGAGGGGCTCACTTTCAGCTGCGGGAGTCTACCGCATTCCGTGTTCATGCGGAAAGGTCTACATCGGAACTACCAAGAGATCAATGGGAACGAGACTTAAGGAGCATAAAGCAAGCTGCAGGCTAGGACATACAGAGAAGTCTGCAGTAGCTGAACACGCACTGGGCAGCGGGGAACACAGGATACACTTTGAGAGCTGTAAGTTACTAGCATCGGTCAACGGCTATCACAACAGACTAGTCAGGGAAGCCATTGAGATACAAAAACACCCACACAATTTCAACCGAAAGGAGGAGACCCTTAGACTCAACCAA